CTGTGTTTTATATATTCAGTATGTTATTAGATATATTTACCTTAAATATATAAAATATGTATTTATATCTAAATATAAAAATATTTCCCCTGTTCATTTTTTTTCATTGAAGAGTTGTATTTGGTCAGTTGTTTTGTGATGTGCATATGGGAATGTCTAAAATATCAAAAATAAAATTCATTGTCAGTCTTTTCCATAATTCTCATCAACTGATAGATTCTTTTACTTTGTTCTGTGGGATACTAGTCCCAAAATATGTTCCACAAACAAAGGGTTTCTGTTAAATAGTATCAGTCCCCCTAGAAGTATTGCAATGTGTGTGTTAGCATGTTCAAAGCTCTGAAAAGTTCTGCAGAAAAACAAACTTTACTCATGTAGTCAGTCCCCAAACTGTCTTTATCTTCTTTAAACATGACACTATTCACCTTTTTCTGAAAAAGGTTTTGACAAATACTGTTGCAGATAACTCTGCTTAGTGATCAGTGTTCTTCCTTCTTCCATGTTTCCTCGGAGATGATCTATAAATCAGGTACGCAGCCCTTCCATGTGAAATTCATTCTCCTTTACAAAGCAGGATGGAGGAACGGTAATGTAACACATTTGATAACAGATGTACCTGACACATCGTATCACTAGGGCACATAACTACTTCATCAGTAGATGTGCTGGAAATATCCTGAGTTTTTTCTGCATAGAATCCTCTTCTTCCCATATACCCCTCTGTTAATGCTTTGTTCATCAAATATTATTCTGCTCCCAGAACAAACCCCTGAATCTTAGAGAATGTTAAATCTCTTTGTTCTCTAGGCTATTTCCCACCATGGATCTCGGCAAGCCCTACTTGGATCTTTGTAGTGGCCTCGCTTTTATACACAAGTTTCATTCTAGCCACACGACCCCTCTGTAAATCTCAGTAGAGGGACTGCAGTGATTCCAATTTAGAATGTCCTCGAGAGTAACCTGTCTAAAGTGAATGTGAGCCAAGTTTGCATTCAGTTTCTCATTACTAAGAAAATGGGGAGTATGTGTTATGTTACAATGCTTTCTAAGCTGATTATCCAGAACAGAGGCTCAGCATGATGCCAATTCTTTACATGCATTACCAGACTAAACAAGTACCTTTTGAGGTTTATCCATCACAATTTATGATACATTAAGCTAAATCTAATGTTCTCTCAGGCTGGTGTTAGGGGATTTTCAATATTCAGACTAATGTATTGCATTTGGGGAAAGGGATTCTTCTCTCTTTTTTCCATAGAATTTCTTTAGTTCTATAGTCTTGTTATATACTATTGGACCAATGTTATACTCTAGTACTAATCACAGATTGATTTTTAAGCATTTGAATCTTAACTGGTAGGAGGAAATGACTTTAAATTAACATTGCATGAACTACTATAAATTCTTCACTGAAATAGAGAGTGTTTAATTATAAATGAAGGAACCTGATTCTCAGTTGATTAACTAAATTAAACACTTTATATTTTCAAGTCTCTACATTCCAGGTAATAAGCTATTTCTCACAATAGGTCTCAGAGGGAACCTAATCCTATCACCTCCTATTTTTTAAATGATGTTCTTGACCCATGAAAATTAGATGCTCCAGCCATGGCTGCTGTGGTTCAGTGGATTGAGAATTTGGACTGTGAACCAAAAGTTCACAGGTTCAATAACCAGTCAGGGCACATGCCAGGGCTGTGGGCCAGGTCCCCAGTGGTGGACATGTGAAGGCAACCACACATTGATGTTTTTCTCCCTCCACGCCCTTCTGTGTAAAAATAAATACCAGCATTAGGTTTCCAGTTCTTAATGTACTTGTGCCTAGTTTATAGAGCAGTGCTCTTAGTTTTCTGAGCAGCCAAAGTAAATTAGAAAATCAAATACATTTAACTCTCCTCAGTTACTATATATGGCTACACATCTATAGTACACAGATATGCACACACACAATATTTTTCTTAGAGCATTTCTATTATGTATGAAAACCCAGATGTTTTATTATGGAATAACAGAAAACAAAATGGGAGAGATGATTCTCCAGTCTACTTATTCCATGCTACTTATTCTGAGATCCCTTCACTTAGGCTCACTTGCAAGATTCACTTTTCCCGCTTCCTTTTTAGAATCTGTCATTCGAAAGACTAATATGATTGACTTTGACCAAATTATAAAATTGTCTCATACTGAGATCAACAATATTCGTGGCAATCAGTTCATTCTTAATAGCTCACATGATTATTTTGGTTTCTATCAAAAATATAATTATATATCCCATCTAACTGTATTTACTAATTGATTTGATTTATAGTCTTCAATATTTTACTCTGACTTTTGAAAGTTATTTTCCATGAGTAAAATAGTCCATAACACAAAATATAGAGATTAGTTTAATTTTTTATCAGTAGCTTTGAATTGTTCAGTAGTTTAACCCCAATACATCTGATGAGTTTGCAGTTCTCTCAATGCTGGTATCACACTGATGTGTAACTATACAGAGAAACAGAGCCAGAAAGGAAGACTGCCTAGTAAGTCAGTGAGAATCACTGACTGACACATCAGGGGTTTTTGTTGTATAGGTATATAGCGACTGACATCTAACTTTGGAGTTAAATTTATTGTAAATGTGTTGCCGTATGAAACTATTGTTATATTAATGTACATGTATTCTCAAATTTTAAAAATTGTGAATTTTTTATTTAAATTTTTTATTCAGGTCTATCTTTCTTCTGTAGAAACAGCATAAGAAAAGTTCTTGCCTAATGAAAGAAAAGTCTCATTTAAATGTTATAATGCTAACCAAAGTAAATGTTCCTTGAAATACTATTTTTAGATCTATTTATAAAAGAAAGGGATATTTGCCTTGGATAATGTAGCTTAGTGAATTCAGCACCAGACTGCAGATCAAAGGGTCACTAGTTCTATTCCCAGTCAGGGAACATGCTGGGGTTGCAGGCCAAGTCCCCAGTAGGGGGCACTTGAGAGGCAACCACACATTGATGTTTATCTCCCTCCCTCATTTTCTCCTTCCCTTCCTCTCTGTCTAAAAATAAATAAAATATCTTAAAAAAGGAGAATGATATTTTACATACTATAGAGCTTCAGTTAAACTTGAATTATTTATGCATGATGTTATATACCAAATATAGTAGCCAGATATGGATATTTTAGCACATTTCCCTCTCAGCTAAAAGTCATATTTTAGTACCTATTAAAATATAAATATGTGACTATAGGCAATGTTATGATATAATTTATCATTATTCTATCCTAGAGTCATGTACTGATAAAGATATGGTTAGTTACAACTAAGGTTCACACTTGTAAATTGCATTGTATTGTGGAAAAATGTAACAAACAATACGAGAATATGATTTAAATATTTGTCTTTGGTGTTTTCATTAAGACTGAAGATTTGTGCAATCCCAAACTATATTTTGGAGGATTCTCCTCTGAGATTAGAGTTCTTCAAATTTATAAAAACATTTCACATCTACGCAGTACATACTTGTCTTGACATAAGTATCATAAGTGTTAGGAGTATAATCTGTAAGTACGCAACTTACAATACATGAGTGTCAGTGTTATGCATGTTCTGTTCATCTCATGTAATAAGGGTCTTGCCTAGTGTCTTATCCTGAACAAGAACCTGTAAATATTTCTTGAATAAAAGGAAATAAATGAACATTGCTTTTGATGATTTTTTCTCCTCACTAAGATGCAAACAAGAAAGAAGGTAAAATATTGAGGCTCTAAAGACAAAGAAAAAAATTAAGATTTAAAAAATACATTAATCTCTAATGCATTCTTATGTAGTTTTGTAGATTTCCGTGGTGTTTCTATGCCTTTGTTGGACCAACTAAGGAAAATCAGATTAAATTTGGAAAGGTTATCTAAAATGCAATTAGAAAGCCTCCAGTATCTGCAAGTTCTCAAAGTTCATATCATTTTTGTCATTGTCATTATACATTTAGATTTAATGATAAAAGTAAATAATTTTTATTCTGATAATTATGTTTCACTGCATATGCTTCATATCATCATATAGAAATGATGATGTTAAGAAAGAAAGAACTGGGTAGGATGTTGGAGAAGAGAAAAGTGTGTACATGAAAGAATCACTGCCATAAAAAGGAGAAAAACTCTATCCCACACTGAATCTCATGGTATAACTCAGAGTTCAGAGGCAGAACCCTTAGGAGGCCAATAGATGCTCCCCCAGAGCCTCTGGTGCTTATCACTAGGGACTCCACCTGTGAGAACAGCACTGACATAGTTCGAGAAAGCACAGCTCTCAGGACATAGACAAAGCAGGCTTGCCCAGCCACCTGCAAAGAGGTACCTTTGGTCAAATGCATGAAAAAAATTTTTTTAACTCAGGTTATTTCAATATACGAAAATGCCTCATGATGTGAACTGACTCAATTCTTACAAAACTAGTTTTGGTTATCATCTAAATTTAACTTGGAAGAATTTTCTTCAATATGACATTCATGCAATATTTGAGCTGTTTAAGGACTGAGTGGGGGGCAGTGGGAGTGAGTGGGGGGCATCTGTAAAAGTGTCAACAGTAAAAAAGGACTAATAACAACAAAGAAAGAACTGCCATAACTGAGGAATGCAATGAGTAAGGAATTGGGCTTATTACATTTTAACACTAATTTAAAATGACTATATAACAGATTATGCTGTTTGTTCAAAATTCAGTAGCAACAATGTTCATCATATGTAGATTTAAAGTATTCTTTATATCACTGGAAATATTATCCAATTAATAAAAATCAGTGTTTAGCATCTCTAAGTGACTTCAGACTTTAGGTTACTTCTGGATAACCCAGATGACATTTATTGATATTCACACTACTTGGAAATAACCAATAAACGTATGTACATTTTTCTTTGTTCTGTTTTATTTTATTTCAGCCCAGAGATGATTACCTAGAGTGAATGAATACCTAACCTTATGAAAGTAACATTAACTACTTACGGACTTTTTGTTTCAGCGTTAAAAAAAGGACGATTTTGGATCACGCCAGATCCTTATCACAAAGATGACAACATCCAGATTGGGCGTGAGGTGAAAATATCTTGCCAAGTAGAGGCCGTTCCTTCTGAGGAGTTAACATTTAGTTGGTTTAAAAACGGCCGTCCACTGAGAAGCTCTGAGAGGATGGTTATTACACAGACTGACCCGGATGTCTCCCCGGGAACCACAAACTTGGACATCATCGATTTAAAATTCACGGATTTTGGGACATATACATGTGTAGCATCTCTGAAGGGAGGAGGAATATCTGATATCAGTATCGACGTTAATATATCCAGCAGCACAGGTAAGCATATTTATGATGCAAAAGATGTTCCCGCTGAGAATAATTTCCTTACACACAGCAGATGATAGAGTCTTCAGTCTACCTAAAAATATTCTTATTTTTGGAAAGGATCATAAAACCAAAATTTAACCTTCTGAATGCCCAATAAATGCCATGTTAAGAGACATTGTTAGTTCTACTTTGATTTAAATTTACATTAAGTTTTACAGAAACAGTACACATAAAATTAATAACATTGGCCTGATAGAGGTAGGCTTCCAAGTTAAATAATACCCATTTGTTCATTATATTTTATTAACTAAACCCCCTTTACATTCTAAAATTGCATTAATAAAATTAAATAAGAGATATCTAAAGAGTTAAGAAAGCTTTCATAAATTTTAAACTAACAGAAATTATTTAGTCCCAATAAAAAAGTATTGAGAGAAGAGTTAAGAGTATTCAAATATAAGATATAAGAAATGTATTTTTCATGAACAAAAAAACAATGATAAAGATGTTAAAGAAGGAACTCCTACCCCTTGCAACAGCATGGATGGAACTGGAGAGCATTATGCTTACTGAATAAGCCAGGTGGTGAAAGAAAAATACTGTATGATCTCACTTTTAACAGGAACCTAAACAACAAAACAAACAAGGAAGCAAAATATAACCAAAGACACTGGAATAGAGAACAGACTGACAGGGACCAGAGGGGAGAGGGGAGGGAATTTTAGGGGAAAAGGGGAAGGATTTACAGGAACAAGTATAAAAGACACATGGACAAAAACTAGGGGGGTTGGAAATGGGAGGGAGGTGGGGAGCACAGGGCAGGGTTAGCTGGGATGGGAGTAAAAGACAGGAAACTGTACTTGAACAACAAATAAATTTTTTAAAAAGATATTAAACTTGTAATCAAATGTGACTCTTCAAAGAAATTTATGATAGATCCTCTGCACATTGAGAATGGTTAAATAAAAATATACTGGAGTAAAATTCCTTCTTTTGGGGTTGAAAATAAAAACATGTTATCAATTTTCTCCCAATTAAGTGTACGTCTGCATGTGAGGAAAATTAAAGGGCTTTTGTATGGGCGGGCACGTTAGTTTAACTCTTAGGACATTTTAGAGCCCTGTGACATTACAAACGGAAGTTTGTATTTGGAGAACTCCAAAGTAGCTTTATTTCTTTTGCCCATTTGTGCCCAGATTGAATTTTAAGATTTTAATGTAACCTTGGGGTGACTATATGTGTTGAAACAAAGCACAGATGTAGTTAGCAGATGTACTCAGTTCTGAGGAAATTTAAGTAGTCAACTTTCTTTTGCAGTCAGGAAGCTTCTGACCGTCACACAGTAACCGATTGACCTGTGATCGCGTATCTCCTCATGAGTCCAAAGGGCAGGGCATGCAGGTCGATTTCACTCCTCAAGCCTGAACAAATGTGCTTCTTTTTCTTTTATTGCTAATGAGTATTTTATTTTTATCAGCCACAATTAATGTAAAAAAGCAGCAGGGTGGTAGAAAATATCCTTTGGACAGATGTGTTTTTCTATATCAACAATGACAATAACTAGTTTTTATCTAACCTATATTTCAGAGTTGGTGCTAGCACTAGGAGATAGGCTCAGTTTAGGATATCTAATGGAAAACTGTCCATATGTTCATAAAAATGATACCATCATTTTTATGTTTTTATTAAATCAACAAATATCCACTAATTGTATCAAAGTCCAGGTGATGTCCGCATATGGCATTTCCTGTAAGAATAAGAATAATTTTGTAAGAACCAAGATTACTTGTCCTAATTTATGAGGGTCAGTTTTCCAGAATTGATCTACACTTTATAATAAGCATTGCTTCGTGTGGTTGGTTGTGTGCCTTGTGTTACTGCCTTTTCGGAATGAGGAACACCAGCCAAACTCCTATCTAACCAGGCTTGTCTGATGGAAATACAGTTCACAGACAGTTAAACTTACACTCAGGAGCGAGCCCAGAATGACGAGAAGACAGGAGCAATATACAGTCACTCACAAACATTCATTTCTAAGTATATTAGTTACAGTGCCTATTTGAAACTGTGCACTGTAAATGACAAAGTGGAAAAGATAAGGAGCAGGGATTCATGAAATTTTTAGCAATGCTAAAAGGAAGATGACAAAAGATAATCATAAAAACAGAGAATACGCAAGAAATCCTTCTTAGGAATCAAAGTTTACTTGTAACAATTACAGTTTCTTAACTGCTATCATTTTGTCTGGTTACCAAAGGTAACAATACTAAAGATAAAGTAAATATCTTTGGTCCTCCTACAAAACACCCCCTTTTGCTGTCTCCACCCACCACAGAAAAACATGGTTATGGTCTCTCTCCTTCCTAGAGTGAAAGCACCATGGAGTGGGGGACTCGGCTGTACTGTTCATTGTAGTTTCAGCATCTGGGACAATACGTGGCACTTAGTAGGTACTCGATAAATAATTATCTACTAAAGAGTTGAGCTCATTTGTGCACATAGTTTCCTTTTAGGTTTTCTTTCCTCTTTCTCTGCAGGATAGGTGGATGATTTCTCTCTTCCTGCTCTTGTAATTTCCCACTAACTTTAAGAAGTTATTCAATAGATCAGTAAATACTTTGATTTAGTGTGCTCTTACTCTCAGCAGCTGGTCTGGCTCCATCAGTGGTGATATCCAGTGAAAATAAAAAGCGGGTCCCTTGTTCAGAACTTGCTCAGGATTTCACGATGGCAACACGACACCATTAAGCGAAGCACGGGGCCCTTGTAGGACCAGCTACACAGGCGGCATGCTTATGGGGCTGCCTGTGAGGGGATTGCATTTGATAGGCCTGGAGAAGGTGATGTTTGACCTGAAAGATGAGCCGCTGAAGGGAATGAATATTCTATCCTTGTGCTGAAACTGGCTTTGGTGTTTCATTTCGCTTACATTAGAGTGGCATACCAGAGTATAAAAATCTGAGACTGCCCAATTCCATTGGTATCAATAAAAATTACTATTATCCCCACAAAACAGAAGAGGACACTTAAAGTAACACTTAATTATGAGATACAGAGCTATTTCTGGAGATAGTGTGAACAGTGAGAATGAACAAGCTGTGGCATGGAGGAAAATCTTGGGCTATATTAATTTTATGAACCATATAGGATGCAGAAGAAATTCCCACAAATTGGGTGAGTGCAGTCCAAGAAAAGGTCCTACTTTTAAGACATAAGTAAACATGTGAGGATCTCCTGCATTGTGGCTGTTGCTGGTTGTATTACTATTTTCAGAAATTTCAGATTGACCAAATGGTCAGAGGTTTTCTTATGTGTTAAACGTTTTCTTTATATTAAATGTAAGTTATCTTAGGGTGACATTTTAAACATTACAAAATTTTTGCGAACCCTTTTCCATAGAAAATTTTACATTGATTCCTAATTGCTAATGTGTTTTAAGAAACATACATGGAATGTATTAAGATGAGGATGAGATACCAGAAGACATTTCTGCCTAATGCAGTTTAAAAACCACTTTCTTAAATGATAGAGCCCATCTCTAGATATGTTTTTGAGGACTTTTAAAATTTACGTATAAACTATCCCAGGAAGGTAAAGCATAGTTTACATAATTACTAATATGGTTGAAAACAATGATTTCAGCAGATTTTAAAAGAAAACACCTACATCTATTTTGGAGTTTGCCTCATGCATTTGATTGAACAATAAAAACTGTGATATATGTGATGATAGATTGTCTTATTTTTACTTGAATTCAACAATGGAAACATTTTCCTCCTAATTCTGTAAACAGTCAAGTTGTTTGCTGTGAGCATTGATTGTCCTGCCATTTTCGGTTTGTGTTTGTTGTAGCTTTTTTCACTGCGTATAAGCTCTGTAGCTGGCACTGACAGCAGCTACACGTGCAGTGTAGCTGGCACTACACTGGCACGTGCAGTGACACTGACCTTGCCCTCAAGGAGCTTTTATGATCTAAGTTGTCAGATTCCTTAGTTTCCAGATGACTTAGAAATAAGGCACCGCATATCGTGGATTGGAAGCTGTGCTTAGAGTTTGGTCAGATTTTTGTAGGAATTGTGAATGCTTTTGTCAATGTGGGCACAGGAAACTTTCACAGAAAAATATCATTGGACTTGCATCTTGATAGACACAGGACTGACAGTGTTGGTGGAGGGAGGGTATGCTAGGCAGGGTGTGCAGGATGGAGAAACTTGCAGGAATATTGTGCAATTCTTTATTTAAAAAAGCACATTTGTAGTCATTGTAAATTTATCCACTAGAAATGAAATATACTGGAATATTAATTGCTACAATTCAAATTTGTAAAATGACAATTCTTCGCATACTTGCTGAAACACGCACAAGAATTTTGTCCTGACGTTCAGGCAGAAGTGAGTGAAAATCAACCCTTTAAATACTGTCAGTTAGTTGTTATTACTTTACATAAATATTAGTTGTTATAGTAGATGGTTAATTTTCAGCAAGCTTACTGAAAAATATTCAGTGACTTCCTGCAGTATTTTTCCTTAGGTGCTCGCTAGCTGTTATGTGTTCCTTGTGTGACCTGACCAACTTGTTGGTTTATATGCACTCAGAAGCATCTGTGTTGTGTCTAAGGGACCGGAGGTTTGTGGAATTCCTGTGGTGAGACATCTGGTGGGCAGATAGAGCAGAGGACTCAACACTGATTTGGTGATATTTTCTACCTTGTTAGAATATGCAAGCATTTTATATGGCAGAAAATTATGCAAGATTTAGAGGATTAAACCAGAGGCATCAGCATAACATAGGTGCACAGGAGGTGACCAATTGAGAAAATTAGTTTGAAATTTTACCTTTGCTGCCGAGTTACCATAATTATGATATTAAATGTCTGCACAAGGATTCACATCTGTGAAATGAAAGTTCTGGATAACACAGAGCTATGGCGTATCCCTAATATGAATAGGTAATAAACAAGAAGACAAAAGACAGACAATGATGTCCACGTTATTTGATTTGATTCTTGC